GCTGCTTGTGGGAAACGCGATGGGTTACGGAAACGCGAGGAGTTGCGGGATGGCGGGAAGGCTTCCTCACCTTTCCCTTTCATCCGTGCTCACGTCTGCTGTGAGAAGGCATCAGCGGCATTGCCAACATCACCGTGAGCCACGGGGGCTGCTTTTGTTGCATGTTGTAATGGTGTCCTGCCAAAATCATCTCTCAGCTTCTGAGGGGGAAGCACACTTCTCTCTAAGTGATGTGCCACACTGGTTGTGTCTTGTCCTGCTTTCTTGCCTCAAGAGGGGCAATCTTCCGTTTTTATTTCCAACCAGTTCACTGCACTGTACAGTAAATCTCTCACCTGTGAGTCCCAGGAGCAGCCATAGAGTATGGTTAAATACACCAGATCCCAGGGACAAAGTGCTCTTGATTTATTCTCCGACTACTGTCCCACTTGATACTGCTGTGTTTGCACCGCATTTTCGTTGTATGACAGTAGTAAGCCTACGGCGGGGATCTCTCCAGCCAAGGTGGTAAAGGAAGGCACCTTGCTTCTTTGCAGTGTCCTTGTCTTGTTTAATTTCCGATTTCTACAGCGTAAATTCAGAAGGAGCCGCTACCCCATTCAGCTGAACCTCCTGCCCGCCCCAGGTGCCTGACACCCCATTCAGCCCATGCAGAGGCCAGCAGCTGACGTTAACTTCAGTCCCATTTTCATTTCCCAGTCAGTGCTTTCACAGATCCTTCCAGGCTGAAGTAACCTTGTTAGTAACTCAACAGTATATTTTTATGTTGGTTTTATTTTTCTTCTTTCCTTGTCACGTTGTTAGTTCTCTTAATTTCCCCTATTGTGTAATCTGCTGGAGTTCACCCTCTATTCTACAGCTTGTTAGACCTTCAGTTTGGAAAACATACTTCAGTTTATTGAAATTTTTCATTTTAGGTTGGTTTCCTTAGAGCCTCTGATTTTTTAGTCATTCACTATGTTTAATTCCCTCTTCCCTCTCATTTATTTTCTTCAATTTTTAGCACCCACGGTGCCACTGGTGGGGGGGAGCATTTTGCCCCTGGAGAATGTTTGTCTTGTGCTGTGGTCGCTTGCTAATATTCCTGTGGTTTTTAAAAAAAAAAAAAAAAAGCTGAACTTAAAAGTCTCTAGAGTAATTTCCCCTCTGAAAGAATTACGTTCTGGTATCGCTCTTCTGTAATTCAATCATCTGCCACATCGTTTGGCAGCCTGGAGGCGGGTACCCACTGTTTCACTGAGGAGCTGCTCCTTTCACACCTCCCCAGGGCTTGGCTCGGGGCTTGGCTCAGCACCAGGGAGCCTGAGGGCTCCTGCGGGTGCCGGTGGCCCCTGTGCCACCCTCAACACGCTTGTGGTGCCGTTCCACCAAGGAACACGCACACATGGGATCCCCACAATTTTTTTCAAGCACTGTCTTGCTTAAAATTCCACCTCTGGCTTCGTCATCTCCTCTAGTTTGTCCAAGTAGCCCTGTCCTGCTGCTCCAAAATTTGCGTTGCTCCAGGGACCGCTTTATTACCTATTCACCTACCTAGAGGTTTCAGGTGGGGATGGATGGGCACACCCCCTTAGCTGACTGGCATAAACTCCCTGTTTGGCACAGTTCTCGGGCAATGTTTGGACCACACACCAGAATTTTCACAACCCTAGCTTTCACTTCTAGGTAGTCTTTCCAAAGGAGCAGGTAGGAAGTGTTGTGCGCACTCAGGCCTGCAGGATGCAAACATTACAGATCAGCCTCTAATTTGTAGCAAATGCCCTAAGTAGAGACTGTGCTTTAATAGTTATTTGCAAGAAGAGCAATTGTTCCTTGGTTTGGAGAATGGAATCGAATCTTAAACATCCTCATACTGCTGTGTGAATTTAAAGTAACTTTTAGCATTGCATCAACTGTGTATTTACAATAAATGTGTTTGTAGCTACCTACCTTCAGCAATATGGTACGTATTTATTTGTGCACTTACTCCCTACCTATAGATCTAGTGCACTGATATTCCAGCTGCCGGCTGTGAACCGCTGGCAGTCTGGCAGGTAGCTCAGAGCCTGGGATCAGCAGCAAGTGATGTTCGCAAGAATCTCCCTCGTCCCTGGAAAATATATCGAGTCAACAAATCCAAGCGTGGTTGGAAACCATGGTTTCTGCGAGTCTCTTAGGTGCATTTAATGCAAATTGTTCTGTAAGTTCTTTGTAGCAACAGCTTCATGCAAGGAAACCTCTACTGTATTTGATGTATGGTGAAAGCTTTTTTAACTAGGCTCTTGTCAAGGTAGTCATTTGAACATTAAATACCTCAATTGTTTTTCTTCTGACATTATTTGGGAGAAAGATTGTTAAATTTAGATCCATGTCAGGAGAATATGAGCACGTAAGAGCTTCTGACCTCATGGCAAAACACATGAACTTTCAGACTTTGACGGTATTGGGGATACACAAGAAGAAATAAAACTTGTCAAATTGCTTTTTAGATTTTTCCCAAATGTTATCTGGTGCCTTTCTTCAAGGTGTGTAGTAGTTTTTAAAAATAAAAAAACCTCACCTTTTCCTCTCTGAACATGTGTAGCCAGCTACAGTGTTATTTTTGTGGCTAGATATAAAAAGTAACTTCCTTCTCCTTGCTTTCTCTTTTACTGGATTCATATCAACATAAGGCCATACTCATCTGTGGGGGTCTGGCACTGGCATTTCAGGATCAGCAGCATTGATTCCTGAAACTACCCTGCACCTTAAGGGAAAGCAGCTTTGGCTCTGAAAAGCAAAAATATTTTTGCATTCCATGTATCTTCTTGTTCTGTTTTCCAAAGGATCATTGCTTTACTATGTTTGGGAACACCTACCCCTTAAAGGAATCCACGCCTACTCTACGAGCACCTCCAGCTATGCAGGAGTTAATCACAACAGACAATGATGACTGCAGGAAGTCTGCAAGCGAGCCAGTGTCACAGAAACGCGTGCGCGAGTGGCGGTGTTGCTACGGTGCCCTCGGCGCGAGGAACAGGAGCCCTTGCTTTAGGTGTGCTCCAAAGCTTCGAGAGCTTTACCTTTCCAAAGGCCAGATGAAGAGGGCTACGAGTTAAGCTCTTTTGCAGTAACAGCCTCAACTTTTATCTCATTCCCCACCCCCATCAAAAGCTGGCTTTTCACACAACAGCTGCTCTTATGAGAATACAGCATCCTGGTGTGAAGCAGGAGTGCTATGACCCATGCTATGACAGCACCTAGGACCGTCCAGTCGCGGAAAGCTCGACAGCACTGTGCTCAACAGCCTGCAAAGGACAGAATGTTGAAGCTTGCTTTGCCCATTGTAAAAGCAGCAGAGTAAGGTGGCAGGCCTTGTGGTACTCCAAACTTTGTGCTCAGATGGAAGTACCTTTGATTTGTCTGAAGCTTGATGGTTCAGACAGGAAGCCCAAACTTGACAGTAACAGCAGCTGAAGCACTTCTTCTCTAAGGAGTTCTGCTACTCCCACAAGTTTTTCCTCCAAACACAGCAGATAATGGTTTTCCATTTTTATGTTCGTCTATGAACTTTGACAACTGAGCACCCTCTAACCATTTCAGCTACATTCATAGGTTAAACCAAGTAACCAAGAGATTATGCGATCAGCCCGTAGCACTTTGTCAGGCCTAAGCAGCCACATTAGCGAGGCTCATGTTAATATCACACCTGGGCACAAGAGCATCTACACCAAATGTTATTCCAGCCTGTAGTACCAGCTTACAAAGTGCTGGCTGAAAGAATTCCTGCTCTTGAACGCAGGGGTAAAAACCCTCATCTCCATTCACAACTTCCCCTGCTGAAGTTGAGTATTATCCCTCTTTCAGCCACACTTTGGCAACAGATCAGTAGAACTTCACACAAACTACGTTTTAAAAATTTATTCTGTAAACTCCATACTGGGTCTTTAGTTCTCCTTCTCCTGCACAGTCTTTGTTCCACGCAGTCTGCCTGTACGACGGGCAGCAATGAGACCAACTTTGCGCCCAGCTGGAGCATCTCTCCTGATGGTTGAAGGCTTGCCAATGTGCTGATGGTTACCACCACCAAAGGGATGTTCTACGGGCTGTAGAAAAGGAAAGCAAGTCGTCAATTTAACTAACAACAGAAATGAGTAATGATGTTTAACAGTAATAAACTGATTTAAGGGAACAAAAATTTTAAATGCTTCATTTTTCATGCAGTGCATTAACTATCAATGCTGCTAACTACCCTAATTAAATGTGCAATTACAAGGTGGTCTGTGAAGCTTTCTTTCCAGATAGATGCCACTCTTCCCCCATCAAACAAATCCTTTCTCAACCATAAAAAAGGAAAGTGAAAACTAATGGAAAAGAGACTCACGTTCATGGCTACACCACGGACACGCGGCCAGCAGTTTCTCTTTGCCTTGTATTTGTGATAGGCACGGCCAGCCTTCAGGATGGGCTTGTCAATACGACCTCCACCAGCAACAATTCCTGGAAAAAAATTGCAGGAATGGTAACATACAAATGTAACAGACAAGAGCGCAAAAGAAAGTGTTTAAGAACAAGACTAATTCCTATCAATATTCAAGTTCTAAGAACGAGCTTCTGAACACCAATCTTAAACTATCCCAACTGTGTATTCAAACTAGTATCTTCCAGCCAACATTAACAGCTACTAGCCACATGTTAAGTGGTCTGCAAGGGGACACATACTTTAATTACTGGTTTTCAAGCCATATGTACAGGATTGAGTTTAACACTTTCTAAAGCACTACCAGTTTTATTGCTAAAATTTCTTGGGTAATGTTAACAATAGCTTTCCAACTAAAGAAAGTATGACTTGAAAGAGCTCAGAGGGCTTTCAAATCCTTTGAGGTTTAATACCTAGTTATTTCACGATTTATTTAGTCAATTTTAATACAGAAACAGGCCACAGATTACTCGCTTCTATTACTTGTCTTCTATTTGGAGGCAGACAAGTGGCACTCACTAAGTACAGCGGCCATCTAAGCTGTCAGTGGAGTGTGCAACAAATCTGCTAAAGCCTTGGCTATTTTCACTCCTCGTCAGAGCTTCCAGAACACTTCACCCAACCTACGATGCCTACAGTGGCTAAGCACCTCCAGCATTACTCCTGCAGGCTCAGTCACTGTATCAAAAGCAGGAGGCTATCAATGCCATTTTCTGCAGCTGTTCTTCCCCAAGGACAGCAGATTTTACAGGCTGAACAATTCCATCATACCTTGAGGACAATTGGCACTTACGTTTCTATCCCTTCACTAGGTCAAACTATCTCCAAATTTAAATTCCCATTACCAAAAGTAATGCAGGAATAATATACACATTAGGCACCTGTGCACAGACTGTACCTGTGCATAACCCTGGGTCCAGCTTGTAAACTATTCTATTTTCTAGACAGTACTGGAAACTGGGGCCTTGTTTGAAAGCTTGCTTAGCAGTATGTAACCTCAGCAACAAGACAAGTTCACAGTTGTCACTTCTTACCAACAACGGCTCTGTTTGCAGAAGAAATCACTTTCTTGGAGCCAGAAGGCAGCTTCACTCTGGTTTTCTTTGTTTCAGGGTTATGAGAGATGACAGTGGCATAGTTTCCAGAAGCACGGGCCAGCTTTCCACGGTCACCAGGTTTCTCCTCAAGGCAGCACACAATGGTGCCTTCCGGCATGGTGCCAACAGGTAGAACATTGCCAATGTTCAGCTGAGCTGCAAGGAGCAATCAGAGCATCGACAGCTTCATTCAGGCTCCTGTACTTGAATTACACATCTAGTCAATACAGGCGTCTGTGCATAGGAGGGCACCACGTAAACGCTCAGTAGCAACAGGCAGAGGCACACTTTAGTGTTTGACTCGAAACACAAGTTTGACACTGAGCGTAACAGAAAGGCAGGACAAATAGGATTCGAGATGGAGCAACCCAAACACTTGACAAGAACTGGGGTTAAGCTCGTTAATCAAAACAGGCTGCGTGAGGAGACCGCATTCTCCAAAAAGGAAATCAAGGTTTGCTTGAAGCTAGTGGAAGCTACTGCTTTGCGATGGCTTGCAACGGCGCTTAAACATCTCTAACGTCACGTATTCAGACGACATCCGCTTTAGACTTCTAACACTGCCCAGGCAACACACTTTACGTCTTAACTCACCTTTCTTGCCGCAGTAAACAAACTGACCAGTATGAATACCCTCAGCAGCAATGAACAGCTCAGTTCTTTTCTTAAACCTGTACGGGTCACGGAAGGCAATCTTGGCAAGGGGAGCACCTCGGCCAGGGTCATGAATGATGTCCTGTTGGAATGGAGATGTGCTTTACAACAGGTTACAGCGTTTGCCACGGGTTCTGCAGAAATCAAAGAGCTAGAAAAACTGGAGATTACTCTTGAGGTAATTCTCACTAGCATCCCCCTTTCTCAGAGGAATCTTGCTCTCTCCTGACATGACTGAGTTGAACGTTCACATTTGTAAGAATACAACCTCATGTATCTCTACCACAAAATGACGACTCTGGTTAAGTGTGCTGCTTGAAACTCATAGTTTGTGAACTGTTTTATTCCTGACATTCTGCTGACATCAGATCTCTCCATACTACAAAATTCACTTTCACTAGTTGCCCAGTCACCTCTGGGCAGACACAAAGTTGGACATATGCAGCAACTTCTCCAACTGTTTTCTTAGAATGGAAGTGTTTCTCACTTTCTGATATTAAGTATCCTGAAATTATATAAACCCCTAAATGAGAAAGCATAGACTCATTGTTTCTTTTTCTCTTGGAAAAAATATGTCAGTTCTGTTCCTGAAGTACACAACCGTATATTTAGAGTACAGCTAAATTATTAAAGCTCTTTAAGACATGTCTGTTTTCCAGGAAAGCCTAGATGTTGTTGGTATCCAGTATTAACATTTTTTCTGTGCAGCAACTTCTCCAACTGTTTTCTTAGAATGGAAGTGTTTCTCACTTTCTGATATTAAGTATCCTGAAATTATATAAACCCCTAAATGAGAAAGCATAGACTCATTGTTTCTTTTTCTCTTGGAAAAAATATGTCAGTTCTGTTCCTGAAGTACACAACCGTATATTTAGAGTACAGCTAAATTTAAATTAAAACTCTTTAAGACATGTCTGTTTTCCAGGAAAGCCTAGATGTTGTTGGTATCCAGTATTAACATTTTTTCTGCCGTTTTCAACAAATGGCACCCCTCTATGTATTATGTAAGTTGAAGTCAAAGCTGCCCGCTTATTTTTTTATCACCAAAATCAATTATGGTGAGCATGAAGAAAGTTCTTTCTACAGCCCGAAGATGACCTCGCCCTAAAAGGCTGAAGAGCGGCCAGACGTTCAGGACGTCTGGTATGTACCCAGTGGCACCGTTTGCAGTCCAAGTCACTGACACCCAAAAATGACCTACAGTGCACCTCAAACACTGTATCGTACCCCAAACAAAAGTACTGCCTTGCCCCCACTGCTCAGGACTACAACGAGGGATATGACTTAGTGTTTATGAAGATTAACTGTTTTTAGATGCTATCAACTGTGCAAACGACTCTCCCCACCCACATTTCTTGAGTTACAGGGAGCTCTGGGGCGATACAGAAGCACCCCGACATCCCTACATTAGCAAAGCTCTAACAGAAAATTGTGCTGCTATCTACGCGCTGCCAGCCCCTTTACTGAAACACTGCCGTAAACACAGAGCGGTTTAACGTTCCGAAGAACGCGACTTATTTACCAAAACGCGGGAAGCCTGAAGAAGGAACAGCCAGACGGCTTTCAGCACGGCTGACACCACGCCAGATCCCGCACGCAAGCGCGGCGTGGAGGGACGCGCGTGCCTCTGGGCCCCAGGCACCCCCCGACAAGGCT